ATGTACTGTAGGTTCCTTGTGTAAATTGGGGAAGGGCCGCAGGTGGCTCCTTTGCTCACTGTGTGTCTTACATATTTGTTGGGGCCGTGTGACATGTGGAGGGGAGCCTGGTTGATTTGTAACCCTTGGGCAGCGGTGAGGGTTACCTTTACACTTGACACCCCGTAATGTCGGGTCAAGTCTGGACTGTTTCTGAGATGTAAGCTGTGGTCTGACACCCCATCACATCACTACACTTCCATAAAGAACTAATTCAATTTATCTGATTTTAAGTAATTTTATTATTGGTGGTTATTAATTGTTATATGAAGAGTAACACCCCTCAACCGACCTCTCCACCCCCCTCCTGGCTGCTTATTTCACCTCATTAAACATGGTAACGCTACTTCATGGGAATGGGGGGGGGAGGTTAGGATAGGTATGTTGGGTTAGGTGAGGTTAGGTGAGGTTAGGTTAGGTTAGGTTAGGTTAGGTTAGGTTAGCGTGTTTAATCATTATTCAATAAGAAAATAACATCGCGGAATGATACACACGACTTGATGAATGGATTGGTGAGAAATATAACCTTCCCACTCACTCGACCTTTCCACTTCTCCCTCCCACTCAATCCTCCTCCCTCCCACTCACCCACTCTCTCATCCCTCCCACTTACTCCTCCTTTCCTCCCACTCACCCACCTTCTCCTGCCTCCCACTCACCAACCCTCTCATCCTTCTTTGACTCCCCACCTTTCCTCCCTCCCACTCACCAACCCTCTCATCCCTCTTCTCCCACTCCCCACCTCTCTTCCCTCACCTTAAAACTGACTCTTTCTCTTTGTCTTTATTCCTTGTGGTTCAACACCGCGCCATCTCTTGACAGAATACTTAAACTGACCAGAAATTCAGCCAATGAGACAACAACGCTGGGATATAATTTTAACCAGTAAGAGCAGCGGAGGCCAAGACAAACAATTCTCTGCTTCAATTCGTTGTTCTTATTGGCTAAATGTTCCCGCGGTGTTCTCTCTTATTGGGTAATTAAGTGAGTGGAAAGTTCAATTATTTGTCAACAGATGGCGGAGGCGTGTACATTGGCAGCGTAATATACGACTTGCTTGTGGATACGCAATACTCTGTTCCTGTTTTTTTTTATAGTTATCATTGTTTTTACTATTTCTCGTGCTATTATTACTAATTATATTGACATTAATATAGATAGCTTCATTATTATGCTTATTACTTCAAATAATATTCAGGATCTCCTATACACATTACGGCGTTATATTTTGAAAGAAAAGAGAGAGTTTCAAGGTTCACACACTCCACAATAAACAGAGAGTTACAAGGTTCACACACACTCCACAACAAACACTGAGTTACAAGGTTCACACACTCCACAATAAACAGAGAGTTACAAGGTTCACACACTCCACAACAAGCAGAGAGTTACAAGGTTCACACACTCCACAACAAACACCGAGTTACAAGGTTCACACACTCCACAACAAACACCGAGTTACAAGGTTCACACACTCCACAATAAACAGAGAGTTACAAGGTTCACACACTCCACAACAAGCAGAGAGTTACAAGGTTTCACAACAACTCACACACCACAACAAGCAGAGAGTTACAAGGTTCACACACTCCACAACAAACACCGAGTTACAAGGTTCACACACTCCACAACAAGCAGAGAGTTACAAGGTTCACACACTCCACAACAAGCAGAGAGTTACAAGGTTCACACACTCCACAACAAACACTGAGTTACAAGGTTCACACACTCCACAACAAGCAGAGAGTTACAAGGTTCACACACTCCACAACAAACAGAGAGTTACAAGGTTCACACACTCCACAACAAACAGAGAGTTACAAGGTTCACACACTCCACAACAAACAGAGAGTTACAAGGTTCACACACTCCACAACAAACAGAGAGTTACAAGGTTCACACACTCCACAATAAACACCGAGTTACAAGGTTCACACACTCCACAATAAACAGAGAGTTACAAGGTTCACACACTCCACAACAAACACCGAGTTACAAGGTTCACACACTCCACAACAAACAGAGAGTTACAAGGTTCACACACTCCACAACAAACAGAGAGTTACAAGGTTCACACACTCCACAACAAACAGAGAGTTACAAGGTTCACACACTCCACAACAAACACCGAGTTACAAGGTTCACACACTCCACAACAAGAACCACTAAAGCTGCTATATTTTCTGAGTTAAAATGTTACAGGTCAACTGAAATAAAAATTAAAGATAAACTAAAGGACATTGACTCATTTTCTTCAAGCTGTTCAGTCTCTCTCTCTCTCTCTCTCTCTCTCTCTCTCTCTCTCTCTCACTATCATTTATGTTGCCACTCTGAAGACACACCATCAACACTCTACACCTGACAACACTCTACACCTGACAACACTCTACACCTGACAACACTGTACACCATCAACACTCTACACCTGACAACACTCTACACCTGACAACACTCTACACCTGACAACACTCTACACCTGACAACACTGTACACCATGCAACGCTGCTCCCACACATCAACACAACACTGAACATCGTTTAGAAACGACTCTTCGTGTACAGAATATAACCCAGACTTAAAAGATGACTTAAAAACAACACAGGTCGTTAATGGCTCCACCCACAACAGTCTATGAGTTCTGACTAAAAGCTCTAATGAATTTAAAACGTTATACAGACGAGTGGATAATCAAAATCCTATACTAAAAGTTATTTGTATAAATGGAGTGTAGAGTTTAATTGACAAATAACCTTCAATTAACATAAATTTGCATATAAAAAAACGAATTTAAATGTTTATTCTAAATTAGCGTCAATATTTTCATTATCGGAAATGTTGACCGGTAGTGGGAATTGTCTGTTTACTTGTGATAAAAAGTATAACATTAGGAATGGTTGTTTTTATTCTTTCACCTTTGTGTCTAAATGATTCGTTCTCTGTAGCTTCTTTAGGATGATTTAATCAGTACTCAGGTGTTATAGATTTGTTGGGTGATATACGTATATAAATTTGACTTGACTCTTTGTAAATGTTTATTACTGTTATTATTATTATTATTATTATTATTATTATTATTATTATTATTATTATTAGTATTAGTATTATTTGTTTATTTTATTTATTATTATTACTATTATTATTATTTTTATTATTATTATACAACACAGTACGATATTGATAATGGTCAGTTCATAGTTAACATTAATTATTATGCTGGAGGAGGAAGGGAGAGAAGAGAGGGAGGGTTGGAGTTTGAGAGGGAGAAATGGAGGGAAGGAAGGATGGAGGGAGGGGAGGAAGGATGGAGAAGGGAAGGAAAGGTGGAGGGAGGGAAGGAAGGATGGAGGGAGGGAAAGAAGGGTGGAGGAGGGAAGGAAAGGTGGAGGGAGGAGGAAAGGTGGAGGGAGGGGAAGGAGGGTGAGGGGAGGGAAGGAGGGTGAAGGAGGGAAGGGTGGAGGGAGGGAATGAGGGTGAGGGAGGAAAAGAAGGACAGTGGGAGGGAGTGAAGGAAGGACAGTGGGAGGGAGGGAGAGCAGGTAAAATATGTTATCATTTAGTCATTTCTTCGATAAAAATCAAGACGAAATACATAATTCAGACGGGCGTGTTGGGCTAACTTCATTTACATATAAAACAGTGAGGCTGGTTACTGTCGTGAGAGACAACACGAAAACCATTTGTCTGCGTGACCTTCATCTTATCACTGAACGACTAAGACAGACTATTTATCACGTTAGACATATGACTGTCAGGCCCAGACACATGGTTGGTGGGGGCTCCCTCACGCGGCGCTCCACCAGCCAGATTTTCCATATCATGTCGAGCAATATGGACGAGGAATCTTGACTCTAGCTGAACATTTTCTGGTGTGTATTCTTATCGTGTTTTTTCTCTTCAGTAGACACGAGTGGTTGGATCATGTGAAGATTAGCCACCCTAGCTTATTGCACCTTACGATTGATTATCCTAAAGTTAACCTAAACTAACCTGGCATAACCTAACCTAATCTAATCCCCACGTTGCGTTAGAGTGTTTACTCATCAGGTGAAATAAACTGGGAGGTTGTTAAGTTGGCTGTAAGAGAGGAAAAAGTAAGAAGGAGGAGAAAGAATAACGAAGGAGAGAAGGAGAAAGGAGGAGGAAGAAAGAGGAGGAAGTGGAGAAATGGAAGGGTGTTTGTTGAGGAAAGGGGAGGACAGGGGTGAAGAAGGGGAGGGATAGAGGAGGGAAGGGAAAGGAAAGGAGGAGGAGGGAAAGGGGGAAAGAGATGGAAGAGGGAGAGAATATAAGGGAGGTGAGGAGAGGAAGGAGAGGAGGAGGAGGAGGAGGGAGGGCGACAGGTAAGTCTCCCCTTGACGAGGTTCAGACGTGAGGAATGTTGTTAATTATCCCCCCAGGTGACCTACACCTCACCTGCCCTCCCCCCAACACACACACACACACATACACACACACACACACACACACACACACACACACACACACACACACACACACATATATATATACACTCACAAAAAAGACCGACAGACAGACAGACAGACAGACAGACAGACAGACAGACAGTTTACCAGGACTGCAATCAAGGTAACGTCATTGTATCTGAGGGTTGGCGACCATGGCCCCCCTCTCCAAACTTGTACACGAGTGAGTTACAAAACATTTATTAAAAGATAAATATGAAATAATTAATTGGTCTTATGATGCGTCAGTGAGTGAGTGAGTGAGTGAGTGAATCGGTGAGTGAGTGAGTGAGTGAGTGAATAAATCAGCGTGTGAGTGAATGAGTAAATGAGGAAATGAGAGAATGAGGGAATGAGGGAGTAAGTGAGACATCGAGGGAGTAAGGGAGTGAGTAAATAAGTGAGGGAGAACAAGAAAGTAAGGAAGAGAGATAGTGAGTCAGTCTGTTTAAAATATGTTTCTAGTAGTGGTGACATTCATCCACATCCTGAGAAGAGACATATCCGGTGTTCTATCCTGAGGCAACAGTGAGTCGAACCCTGTGCCAACAACCAGTCATAATGGTAGTGCCACAGTGACCAGGACAGCTCATGCTACTAGTACTACACTACAGTAACCAGGTGACACCACTAGTACCACACTACAGCAACCAGGTGATACCACTAGTACTACACTACAGTAACCAGGTGACACCACTAGTACCACACTACAGTAAACAGCTCATACCACTAGCACCACACTACAGCAACCAGGTGACACCACTAGTACTACACTACAGTAACCAGGTGATACCACTAGTACCACACTACAGTAACCAGGACCTAGTACAAGATGGAAGAACAAGATCTTAACGACATGGGATATATAATTGTACGTGGTGATGGGTTGCTTGTACGTGGTGATGGGTTGCCTGTACGTGGTGATGGGTTGCCTGTACGTGGTGATGGGTTGCTTGTACGTGGTGATGGGTTGCTTGTACGTGGTGATGGGTTGCCTGCAGGTGCTAATGAGCTGCCTGTACGTGGTGATGGGCAGCATGTACATAGTTATAGACGATATGTACGTGGTGAAGGCCTTCTTGTACGTGGTGATTGGCGGCCTGTACGAGGTAATGGACAGCCTGTACGAGGTGATGGGCGGCCTGTACGTGGTGATAGGCGGCCTGTACGTGGTGATGGGTGGTTGTGCCGTCTGCAGGCCGGGTTGATCGTCCTGCTGGTGGTGATGACGCAAGCACAGGCAGTAGATCTCAGAGATGACTCCAACGCCAAAGGTAAGTCACGGCGAGATAGATCGATAGATAGATAGATAGATAGATAGATAGATAGATAGATAGATAGATTGATAGATAGATAGATAGATTGATAGATAGATATATAGATAGATAGATAGATAGATAGATAGATACTTAAATTTATAAGTAGATAGACATTTAAACAGATACTTAGACAGTTACTTCAGTTAGTAAGTAGGTAAGTAGATACTTAAGTAGACAGTTAGATACCTTAATAGATATAAATATATAATTATTGTGTATTATTCACTTATAAGGTTTTAAATTCTCAGATCATGAACATAAACTTTATTGATTTTAGGAAACTGTAAACCACCAAATAAAGTTGTTTTTGTTTTTGTATTTTGTTTTTTGTTTTTGTTGTTTTTGTTTTTATTTTTGTTGTTTTTGTTGTTTTTGTTTTTGTTGTTTTTGTTTTTGTTGTTTTTATTGTTTTTGCTTTTGTTTTTGTGTTGTTTTTTGTTTTTGTTTTTTGTTGTTGTTGTTTTTGTTTTTGTTTTCAATAAGAATTTCGGTAATGAGCTGATGATAATAATAATGAAGATGATCGTCAAGCTCAAGATTTAATTATATTTATTTTTCTGGTCTGAGGAAAATTAAAACAAAATTTATGATAGTTATAAAATTGACTTCAAATTGTGTTTTAACTTTGGGGAAAAAAATAGTATTAAGGTTTAAGTTTTTAGGTGTAGTTATATCGTTGTTTGTTAATATGGGCAGAAATAACATGACTTTCCTAGGAGCTTGTCAAGATTGAAGAAAATTTATTATTATGAGAGAAACGAGTGCTCATGAGGGGAGGACAGACAGACAGACAGACAGACAGACAGACATACAGAATAAAATGACGTTAGCGTACAGGGTAGAGTGGCACCTGTATGCCCTGTAGATACGTATTGTTCCTACAAGATGTTTACTGTAGTTGTTAGAGCCGCTAACTACTCGAGATCAAGGGTAGACAGTGTGGTGATGATGGTGAGGATAGTGAGCCAGATGCAGTAGTCAGCGAGTACCTGTAATGACCTCAGATAATTCTAGTAATTGTAGTTACTTCTAAGGTGATTCAAATCTCCCCCAGGGTAGTTCCGTAATTATGATCACAATGATTACTAACGTTGTAGTTACGGCTGCAAATCTCAATTATTAATTCCATATTTTTTTCTTACAAATTTTTAAATATAGAACTATAGTAATTGCTGATTAGAACTGGTTTGTACATTTTTGGGGGTAAAATTTGCAATGATCGTAAATCACCACTAATTTTCTGATAAAAATACTGTTTATACATCACATTTGACTTCACAATAAAAAAAAAATGTGAAATTTTACAATAAATTTACAAATTTCCTGATGAGATGTTTAAAGGAAAATAATTCTTCGCTATTTTTTAAGGTAAACTGAAAATGTCACACCTAGGAATACTAAACACGGAAAACAACACTGAAATACGGAAAACAATACTAAACACCGAAAACAACACTGAAATACGGAAAAACAATAATAAACACGGAAAACAACACTGAAATACGGAAAACAATACTAAACGCCGAAAACAACACTGAAACACGGAAAAACATTAATAAACACGGAAAGCAACACTGAAATGCGGAAAACAATACTAAACACCGAAAGCAGCACTGAAACACGGAAAACAATACTAAACACCGAAAACAGCACTGAAACACGGAAAAACATTAATAAACACGGAAAGCAACACTGAAATACGGAAAAACAATACTAAACACCGAAAGCAGCACTGAAACACGGAAAACAATACTAAACACCGAAAACAGCACTGAAACACGGAAAAAAATTAATAAACACGGAAAGCAACACTGAAATACGGAAAAACAATACTAAACACCGAAAACAGCACTGAAACACGGAAAACACAATAAAAAACACTCGTCACTTCTACAATAAATGGACTGGTCGACACACTACATGACTCACATTACCAGAGTCTAGTTTAAACACTCGTAAATTTTCTCCTTATACACGAATTACACACTTTCTCCGACATGGACAGACAGACAGACAGACAGAGAGACAAACAGACAGGCAGGCAGGCAGACAGACAGACAGAGAGATAAGAAAATGGAATGAGATAGAAGAAAATACTTAGACAAAGACAAGAAGGGGGGCAGAAAGAGTAGATGGGGGCTCCTGACATTTACTGGTCACACTGGAAATACCCTTGACTCAGCTTCCTGTGCTCTCTCTCTCTCTCTCTCTCTCTCTCTCTCTCTTACTTTATGACTCACACCCATAAATCTGAATTGTGACGACGAATTATAGAGACAGTCGTTTACCCGGACACAATGGCAGACACTAAAAGACACGCACAAAAAAATCTTCTTGGAGGACTGTCTGACTGGGTATAGTGACTGTAAGACTAAGTTCACTGTTAATGTACGAGTACACAGTTACAGCGACATTGTCTGTAAGTGTTAGCGTAGGATACACTGTTTTGGTGACTGTATGGTTGTAAAAGCACAGACTGTAGAGTTGATACAGTCGTACAGTTAGTATAGTAATGGTTGTTGTAGAGACTGTATGACTGTTTTGGATTAGTAGAAATACATTCGACTGCAAATTCTTATGTAAATGACATTTTCTCCGGCAGACTGTAGAGTGTATGAAGTGAAGAAGAACCATTCTTCACCCAAGTCCTACTTCAGAGAGAGCGAGGTCGTCCTTGGTCTTTTGTCTCAGTTTAAAACCTCTCAGATCCTGGCTGGGATTAACATCACCGTGTATAAGAACAACGGTGACGTCATACTATCCACGCGGGTTACAGGCATCAACAGTCCACTGATATGTTCCTGGAGAGACACTCATAATCACGAAGAATCTATCCGTATCAGAAAATTCAGAAAGAGCAAGTTTCAGTGGCAACACATCGGGCTATCCATCCAGAACGGGAAATTGGTTATCAACGGGAGCTATGTGGTGTGTCCGGGGGCTCAGGTGATTGATCCTGGTGCCTACATCGTGGTGACGCCCACACGAGCGTCCGTCAACATGGTCATCAACTGCCAGCATGGTGAGTCTCCTCGTCAGTGTCTCGAGGGAGGGGACAAGTGAAGAAATGTCTTGCTTCTACCCAGTTAGTTAGGTTGAAGGAGTTTCAGGGTTGGATCAGAGTCATTTGCCCTAACTGACCCAAGTACAGAATTTATTATCCTGTCTCTTATTCCCTTAAAACTCCCTAATTCAACCCTGAAACTTCCTCAAGGACGTCGCAGTAAACACAGAAGAATTTCTCTTACTCAGATAATATCAAAGGACGAAAAATATACCTTTTACTTGAGCACAGAGTAGCTGAGTAGGTGACACGAGTGACCCTTTGTTCTCACTGTCAACCAGACGAGGCACAGAGGTATTTTCTCTTGTACAGTCTTGTCATTATCCCTATTTGATTATGTGTACAATATATCAACTGGCAGTGAGTCTACTTATGTCTAGTAAAACGCATATTTCAACCCGCCACAACCAAGTCTCTCGATATGGCTAACATCAAATTACACCATCGTACAATACCCGAATTTGTATAGTATCTTTCACAAACTTATCTCATAATTCCTTTTAATATCTCTAACTGTATTACCAAACTGTTTTATCCTTCAAATTATTCTCTCCCACCATCATCACTTCTACATGTTGATGGAGGTTTATATTTACTCTGTCTCCACTACACACACAGCTTGTCCGGTCTTCCTCGACTCTACACCGGCCCGCATCTGGAATGACAACTTAATGAAGGCCACAGATTCGGGGATGTTCCTGATGACCACTTCAGGGGAGGCCAGAGTCCACCTTAAGCTGATCCCGTGTCTGTTCTGTTTTATTGGCGGGACGCAGGTGTTGGAGGACATTACTTTCAATGCCTCCAACATCGACAGTTCCACGTGGGAGAAGCTACACCTGGAGACGCCAGTTGTCCGTAGGGATGTTAGTTATCATTATACTGTGTCTGTGCAGGAAGGATGTAGTCTTAGGTGTTGTTTAACATGGAGGTGAATTTTGTGAGTTAGTAATAATTTGAAGGTAAATTTTGTTAACAGGTATTAACTTGAAAGTAAATTTTATTAACTTATTATGGAGTTATGGAGTTGTGTCAGTTAATGTTAACATGATAATTAGGTGTAATGTTAGAGGCTACATTAAAGTTAGTACAGGCAGTAGAATTTGTAGTGTTGCTCAGGATAAAAGAATATACTGTTATATATTACAGTATTGACACTATTACAGGAGATAGGAGCAATGGATCATTTCATTCCCTGAATTTCATAACATTTGTGTGTAAATTAGATTCTGATATAATTCCATGATACAAATGTTGAGTGATGTAATGTTTGTTTTAATTAATTAGATTTATTTTTTGCCACATTACTCCACTTATATCTTTTTAATTTTACAATATTTTTCTCTGATGCAGAAAAATATTATTGGAACATATGAATCGAGTTAGAGAGCAAAGAGATTCCTTGTGAAAGTCTCTTAAATAGTTTTACTAAAGGCAAGTAGGCAACGAAAGATTAGATATACACTATACATAAACTATACCTACTGTCATCCTACGCATTCACAGGATCCATCAACCATCACAAATTATATACGACCATAAACAAAAATAAATCACTTTTATTCCTTTCAGAACAAGACCACATTCGACATATACATTGTCAGGGTGGGAAGCTACATGAAGATATCTACGAAGGCGTTGTATGATGCCCGCCTGCGGTTGGTTGACGCACATGACGTAGCTTGGTCGGTGGGCTGTGACCCTCGGGACGACCAGCTTAATTGGAGAAATGGATCTAGTGAGTGTTTATTATAATTCTGTTATTATTATTTTATTACTATACTGATAATTATTTAATGAACTTTGCGCCTGAAGGGGATACGGGCTTACTTGGAGAGACACTGGTTCCCTGTTGTCAATGTGAGAGGCAACAGGTGGTCACTGAGGAACGAGAGTATTTGGCTAAACATGATAAAGGGTAGCGAAGATTAGCACAACATGATGAATATTTTCCTCACAATAGTTAATGAAAATGAGAGATGATAGATTTAGGAGGAGGAGGACGAGAAGGAGGAGGAGGAGGAGAAGTAAACAGAGGAGAAAGTCAGAAAGTCGACGGAAGATAACATAATATAGTAGATAATTCCTTCAAACTTCTCAATAAGAGTGAGAGATGTAGTCACAGGTGAGGCTCGGTAGCGTGTGGAAGGTGCCAGCGAAATCCTGGACATTTCAACTAATTCCAATGTTAAATATCCTTACTCGAGCCATCATATGTTTGTGTACTTCCTATTCTCTATTTTGTATGAATTAAAAAAAAATCCATCTCGAATTCAAGGTTCCGTTTGATGTTTCCTACAGGGCACGCGACGTCGCACCGGCCAGATGCTTCCCTTGGCAGCTGTTGGGAATGGCTTGTCCTCATGATCGTGTTGTTATGGACGATAATCATTAGTCAGGTCGCCTATTGTTGCTTCCTGAGGACCAAGGTTATGAGACTCAAACTGCGGCAACGGTGTAGTAGTAGAGGTAGTCGCATACCCTCCGAGCTGTCTGTACCCGTGGCAAAACACCCGGTCCATCCCGTCGCTTCATTCAACAAACATAAGAATCCTGACTCCTGCACCATCAGTGGGGACTCAAGTCGACGCCCCAACACAGAGGACGTGAATAAAGGACATCGAACGCCAGCCAATCCTTCAGCTTCCAGGGGTGAGTCTGACCAGGACGACCACTACTACTCCACACTTGACGACAACAACCAGGATGAAAACGAGTACGACTACGTTGATCTTGATGCTCTGAGACAACAACATAATTAAGAAAATAAGAAGAAATTACATAAGAAGCAAAATAATAGAGGAAGCGAGGGATAAAATTAACGAAGGGAGGGGAGGGGATTAGAGAGAGAGAGAGAGAGAGAGAGAGAGAGAGAGAGAGAGAGAGAGAGAGAGAGAGAGAGATGTCTCTTGTCCCGTCGTGATGCTGATATCTCCCTGTGTGTGTGTGTGAGACTGACGGATTATGAGAGAACAGGGAAAGACAAGAGATAGGGAAAGAAAAGAAGACGATAATGAGAAACTTTTGGATGTCTAGGCTGGGAGGTCAGAAAGTCGTGACTCTAGATGGACTTTCGTCAACACAACTTACGAAACTTTGGATCACATAGAGGCTAATGTCGTGTTAACTATCGGTGCCGTCCTTATCACACACAAACCTGGTAGAACAAAGGAGAGAGAGAAATATTACAGAAAAATCATTGGGAAAGTATTTTGTGTGTTGCATTGAAGTGACAGTAAGAACGTAAATAATTTGAAATGTTGAAGCAGTCAGGAATGTTTATAATGTTAGAAAGGGTTGACACTTTACTGGATTACCACACGATGAGGTCAATACATAAACCATGATGATTGACACCAAGTCCAGGTATGAACAACGACTAGTAATAACTGATAGGACAAAGCCAGTCAGTGTGACAAAGGCTCGTCATATCTGCCTGACATTATGACATATCCTGTACACTGCATCAGGGACCGGATTCTCATGCTTAGATTTTGTTTACCTTTATTAATGTTAAAAATATAGGATTTATTTTGGGTTTGCTTTTGTTGTTAATAATGATGACTGTGAGGTGATAATTTATTCAAGTGTATATTATGAATTGGCAGAGTGCGGCGGTCGAGTGAATACAGCGTTCACCTCCTGTTCCGACCTCTCAGTTCACCCAGCTGTCTCTTAACTAGTACTAAGTGAATGTTTCTTCTTACGTGTAATTTTAAACTCCTTGTACCTGCCATTCTATACTGTTTTGTGACTGTCATACCTGTATACTACCCCCCCTCCCCCCTGTATGTTGTTGATTGTGTAAATACTCTCATGTTTTCTGATGTACTGTATATCTGGAATCAAATTTTGTAATAAAAAAATTTAAGGTGATATTATTGGGTTTTTTTACTGAGAAAAGTGGAGAAATTTTATGGTCCTTCGTTAGAAAATATGTATTCCTTTTTTTTCTCCAGTCTCTCCCCCACCTCCAGCAGCTGTCTAAGGGGTACTGTGGTCTACCTGTGAAGGCCGCCCTGCTTCTATTTTATTCCAGGTGGAGTAATTAAGACCCATTAACATATGTCCCCTTTAATGAGACGCCTGTCACCACCGCCACACTAGTCTCTCCCTTCTTCTCCCTCCCTCCCTCCCCCTCGTTCCACCCTCACCCTCCTCCTCCCCTCCCTCGATCCACCCCTCACCCTCCTCCCCCTCCCTCGATCCACCTCACCCCTCCTCCCTCCCTGTCTCCACCTCACCCCTCCCTCCTCCCTCCCTCGTTCCACCTCACCCCTCCTCCTCCCTCCTCAAGGTTCCATCTCCCTCCTCCTCCCCCTCGTTCCACCTCACCCTCCTCCTCCCTCCCTGTTCCACCTCCCTCCTCCTCCCTCCCCGTTCCACCTCACCCTCCTCCTCCCTCCCTCGTTCCACCTCCTCCTCCTCCTCGTTCCACCTCACCCTCCTTCCCTCCCTCGTTCCACCTCTCCCTCCCTCCTTCCCTTCCCCATTGCCTCTCAAAATTTCCGAACATAAGTGAGTACATGTAATCACTGACAAAACTCGCCCCTGCTACTGCTCTCATTTCCTAACCTAATGGCCACACGTCAAAACATGAAGGTCATCACTGTGTTACTAAATTAAATACTACACTACGTTAGCATTATGTTATTATTACCATCAGTTTCATTTGGATTGTTCTTTTCCTTGTGATGTTCTGTTGAGAAAATGTGTATAAATACTTTGTAAACATCGACTCACTCGTTTACACAGTTGTTCGTCAATTTGCCACAATCGTACGTCAGCCAACACCGTCAATGGCAGGGCGGAAGGGTATAAAGGAGGGTGAGTAAATTGAGTTGGGTGCATTGTGTCAGTTTCCAGGCACGAAGTAGGATGAGAGGACCAGCTTACCGTCTTCTGTTGCTAATGAACTCTGGCCTAAGCTGAGGGAAAGCGGGTAGATCATGGCAGACAACGACAAAGACCAATAAAGAGGTGATCACTACACAGCCTTGTACTGGATGATGGATGTATTTATCTTAGGTAAGTAACTGGACGAGTATCAATACATATCCTACTCTAAACTGATCTAAATGCTACCATTATCACCATCACCAACACCACCATCAACACCACCAACACCACCACCATCATCAACAACACCATCACCACCAACACCATCACCACCACCACCATCAACACCACCACCACCATCACCACCACCACCAACACCACCACCATCACCACCACCACCACCAACACCACCACCATCAACACCACCACCACCACCACCACCACCAACACCACATCACCACCACCACCACCACTCATCACCCACCAACACCACCACCACCACCATCACCAACACCATCACCACCACCAACACCACCATCAACACCACCACCACCATCAACAAATTCACATCACCACCCTCCACCACCACCACCATCACCACCACCACCAACACCACCACCATCACCACCACACCACCATCAACACCACCACTACCATCAACACAATCACCACCATCACCACCACCACCATCAACACCACCACCACCATCAACACCATCACCACCAGTACCAAGCTCTCACGAAACTCTGTACATTATCCAGAACCCATTCAAGTTTCCCCAAGTTGAACATTTACAAAGTTGCCATCAAAAAAATATCATAAACTTATACAATTAGCCACTAAATGGTGTCCTTTAATGAGTTATGAATGATAGAGACTAGAGGATTATAATTGATTTAGACAAACATACTAACGCTTTAGATAATTACTTTGTCAATTGTTTTGAGAACTTGACTAAACCGCTGGAGTAGTTCTGTTTGTGTTGTGTGTGTGTGTGTGTGTGTGTGTGTGTGTACCATAATTTTATACCTGTGTGTGTATATGTGGTCCTATGAATGTACAGTATCTCCACATATATATTTTTTACATATTTCCATTCAAGTTTTTTGTAAATATTTCAACAACTTTTAAAACAAATTTATACACTTAAGTTTAATGCAAGCGTTTGTATACATATTTACAAAATGAGACACAAATACATGTAAATTAAAGGAAGTTAATGGAGACGAAAGAACACAAGAGAGAGAGAGAGAGACTGTAAACAAATGAACACAATCTTAATATAAATGCAAACAATGAAAATAAACTCCAAACAGTTAGACAGGCGAATAATCACAACCTAAATTTCATCAACATAATTATATACAGCGATACATTTTTCTCTCCGTCTCTCCCTCTCTGTCTCTCTCTGTCTCTCCCTCTCTCTGTCTCTCTCTTGCTGTCTCTCTCTTTCTCTGTCTGTCTCTTTCTCTCTGTCCAGTCCTCTGTTTTGGGTTCAGTCGTGAGAGACACTGGTAGAATTTTAGGTTTTACATAATCCAACGATATTTTGCACTGGGACCACCTGGTAACTTTTCCTCCTTCCTCCCTCCTTCCCTCCTTTATCTCCCTCCTTCCTCCCTCCTTCCCTCCTTTATCTCCTTCCTTCCTCTCTCACTTCCCTTCTTCCCTGTATCACTTCCATGCCCCCCCCCCTCAGTACCTCTCCTCCCGTCTATCCCTCAATACCTAACCTTCTTATTTCTTACGCGTCTTCTCTCATTAATATCCATCTTCATCCTCATATATTCTATCCTCCTCTTCCTCCTCCTCCTCCACTTGTCGCCAACATCCACCTGCCTTCTCATCCTCCTCCTCCTTCACCCATCTCCAACATCCGCCCTCCTATAAATCCTCCTCCTTCTAACATTCAACCGCTCTCCTCTTCATCCTCCTCTCTCTAACATTCATCCATCCTTCTCCTCCTTCTCCTTCACCTATCTCCAACATCGACCCTCTTCTTCCTCTTCTACGTCCTCCTCCACCTCTCCTCCACAACCAGTCAGCCAGTAGGAGGGCTGTCCAGTCCCTCCTAACCCTCCACTACCTCCCAAACCCTCCTCTACCCCTCCTAACCCTCCACTTCCTCCTAACTTGAGAACGACCTGAGTACGACTTGAGAACGACCTGAGAACGACTTGAGAACTTGACCCAAACAAGGCGAGGGAAGATGTTGTTATAGCAGGTAACTCACGCAGTCTTCCACTCAAATGGGAATCTGTTGAACTAGTCCTCGAGACACCATGTTGAGGCTTATCTCTTGAAATGTTACATTACTGAAGGAGGAGACTTTGAGGTGGTGGTGGTTATCCTCGAGGCTCATGGTGTGGGAATGACAGCTTCACCTGATTTCGTCTTAAGCTTCACCGCATAGAGAGGGGTATAAATGCTCTTATTTCATAGACTGAGTCGAAAATCATAGACTGTGAGGCGAGGATCATGGACTGTGAGGCGAGGATCATAGACTGTGAGGCGAGGATCATAGACTGTGAGGCGAGGATCATAGACTGTGAGGCGAGGATCATAGACTGTGAGGCGAGGATCATAGACTGTGAGGCGAGGATCATAGACTGTGAGGCGAGGATAATAGACTGTGAGTCGAGGATCATAGACTGTGAGGCGAGGATTATAGACTGTGAGGCGAGGATTATAAACTGTGAGGCGAGTGGGATCATAGACTGTGAGGCGAGAGGATTATAGACTGTGAGGCGAGGATTATAGACTGGTGAGGCGAGGATCAGGACTGTGGAGGCGAGGATCATAAACTGTGAGGCGAGGATCATAGATCAGAGGCGAGGGGACTCAGGATCAGAGGCGAGGATCATTGACTGTGAGTAAGAGGATCAGACTGAGGCGAGTATCAAACCAGGTATGAGGATCATAGACTGTGAGGTGAGGTTTCAGGACTATGAGGAGGATTAGACTGTGAGGCGAGGATTATAAACTGTGGAGGCGAGTGATTATAGACTGTGAGGCGAGGTTTGTAGACTGGTGAGGAGAGGATTATAGACTGTGAGGCGTGAGGATCATAAATCAGGAGGCGAGGATCATAGGATCAGGAGGTATGAGGATTATAAACTGTGAGGCGAGGGATCATAGACTGTGAGGCGAGGTTTGTAGACTAAGGAGGAGAGGATTATAGACTGTGGGAGGCGAGGATCATAAACTGTGAGGCGAGGATCATAGACTATGAGGCGAGGATTATAAACTGTGAGGCGAGGATCATAGACTATGAGGAGAGGATTATAGACTGTGAGGCGAGGATCATAAACTGTGAGGCGAGGATTATAGACTGTGAGGCGAGGATTGTAGACTATGAGGAGAGGATTATAGACTGTGAGGCGAGGATTATAAACTGTGAGGCGAGGATCATAGACTGTGAGGCGAGGTTTGTAGACTATGAGGAGAGGATTATAAACTGTGAGGCGAGGATTATAAACTGTGAGGCGAGGATTATAGACTGTAGTGGTGATGGTAGTATTAGTTGTGGTAGAAGTTGTGGTGATAGTACTGGTGGTAGAACCTTTGTGAGTCACCTGATAATTCTGCTGTGTTGCACTGAATTATTTACACAATAAATCTAACTTTACTGTGCAATTTAACAGAGTGCAACTGTTGAAAAATTCTACAAACATTATTTTCACACACACACACACAGACACACACACACACACACACACACACACACACGCGCACACACACACACACGCGCACACACACACACACACACACACACACACACACACACACACATCTTCCAGCCATGGTATTAAGTGTACAAATTACAGAACAAGAAATAGAATCATTAGGCAGAAGGAATAACACTCAAATACCTTGGCCACAGAAATAATCAAAGATAAATATACACTACAGCCACACTATAGCCACACTACAGCCACACTATAGCCACACTATAGCCACACTACAGCCACACTATAGCCACACTATAGCCACATTAGTTTCAATGCACTGCTTCACACATCCAGGAAATACCGTCA